CCCCCAGCAGGAGAGGAGCCTCTTCGTGAAGCAGACTCTTTAAACAGAGTCTAGTCCAACGCCACTCATCAGCACAGCCCACTGCAGGATCCTCACAACTCTGTGTGAACATCTGACACAGAGACAAAGAAGAAGTTGAGACATGTGTTCAGGTTGTTTCTATTTAAGCACGTACTTTACTTGCTAAGTGTCGGTCTGTTACGAGTGTCCGGTACCTGTGCCTTGCTGCTTCGCTGTGTGGTTTGCTCTCTCCTGGACTCTGGTCTGCAGACGTTTAATCTCTTGGTCATAATCGCTCCACTCGGCCACGATCCGCACCGCAGCCTGCAGCTTGGGCTCCTTGGTCATGGGGTTGTTACACTGAGATCAGGGGGAAGAAATCATGAGGACAAAATCATCAGCTGTGATGTTTACAAGCAGCTACACTCGAAGCCATTTTATTACTTGATCTGGTCATTTCTCAACAGGGACAAAGAACGGGCTGCATCTTGTTAAAAGTGGTCAAGTGAGATCATTGTTTCATCTGTCTCACATTTCAAAGGTTCGAGTCATTTTTCAGTTTCCTTAACTGCTTAAAGGTTCAGTGATGGTGGAAGTTTGTTTTATATATTTTTTTAAATACTTAAGTTAAAGTTGAGGTTTTGTAACTCTGGCAGTGGTTTAGAAATGTTTAACTCTCAAATTGTGTGATAAACAAAAACAAAAACCCAACAGCTTTCTCTGGACAGAGAGCTAATTTGTTGCTTTTAATTCATTGTGAAATGTTGATTTGTTACTTCCTGTGTGGAGAAACCAGAGTCCTCAATGTGTGAACATGGCAGATTTAAAGGGTTTGATTTAAGGGAGTGTCAATAAACTTCCTTCCACTCACACTCAGTCACACTCTTTTTCTTTTTTAGATTATCTTATATAACTCTTACTCTTCCAATTATGAGATTTTTTACCAATGTAAAACTTTTTAGTATCAAACATATTGTATTCAAATCTCAACCCTTTAATAAGCTTATGGAATTATTTATTTTATGGTCTGTTGTTTTTAGATGTGAATCTCACTCGTGCTCTCTAGTTAATTACTTCCTCACAGTCAGTCTCTCTGCCCTCTAGTGGCTGTTAGGAGGTATGGCAGTCTTTAGAAAACCCCATCACTCCTCTCTGTAAGTAACCCTGCCGAACTGCACAGGGTGCTACAAGTCTACGAAACCATCTACGAGTCTTCTGTTATTTTATTGATCTGATCCATATCCCGGCCGTCTGCACACAGATAAACTTCAGTTACCAGGTCTATCGTCTTAGCGCTCTTCTTGGTGCTGTCGTCACACCAGGTCTCACACCACAGCCACTCCTGAGGCAGCGACTTTATGGGCACCTGGTGGATCATGTTGTTGGGCAGATCCTGAAAAACAACGATGGACAATGAGACGAATGATGGAGACTTTGAGACTCTTACAGGAGATATTACAAACAGAAATGAATGGAAACAGCTGTTACGGTTACCCTTGGAATAAATCGAACACGTTATATATTTTATTATATAATTTAATATAAAGGTTGATCAATAATGTGCAGGCAGGCATCTGACAAACCTCACTCTGCAGCATCACAATCTGCTGCCTTTATGTTGTTTTTTCAGAGCTGTCTGGTAATGCACTTACAATATGCAACTGTTTGAAAAGCTTTGCTTGTTGCTGCAGTTGAGGACCTCAGAGAGTCTGAGATGAAAAAGTTGGCTGCTAAACAAAATTCACAATATGTGCTCATGAAATCATAAGCAGACTAGAAAACAATAAGCAAACACAAAAATGTGTTTCTCACATTAAAAAAGGAACAGAGGCTGCTGTTCAACAACCAACTCTCAAACCTCAGATTACAGAGCTTCCTTGAACACAACAGGAAAAGTTTTCACCACAGCGCCTTCTGGCAACCACACAAAACATTTTAAAGACGACAAAATGTTCACTAGGATAGTTTTAAAATTTAACAAAGCACTAAAATGAATGTTGACTGCTGCTACTAAAAAGACATAAATAATGCACATTAAAATGACAAATGCGGACAGCCAATGGAGAAACAGACCTGGTCGAGGTTTGAAAGGCTGTTGGGGTCTTGGCTGAGCCCCTGGTACTGTCCTCGGAGTCGATCTCCTGCAGCTATTTTCCTAAACTTCTTCAGGTCGACCACGTACAGGGCGCTGCAGGGGATAAATGGCGGTAACATGAAATATGCATCAAAGTATGAAAAATGTATTAAAAAAGGAGAGTAA